TAACAAAGCTAAGAAGGGCAAGACATTAATTGTCTGATAAAATGTAACGAAAAGTTTCTTGTGGGGCAGGGCCTCCGATTAATGACAGTGCGAGCCAAGTGAATGATCAGCCTCTAACAACATAGGAATCCTTCATTATGGATTCTAACCTGGATCACCTGCACAATGGTCAAGAATGTTATTATTGGCTGAGAAAACGGCGTTCTACTCCCCCCCCCCTCCCAATCACACACACACTTCCGCCAAACCGTTTCTAACCACTACATCACCAACAACAATATCTGGATACCTGGAGGTGTCATCTCTGACTCAGAGGTTGACGTGTAATGACCCTCCATCTTTCACGGTCGCGAGCTGCCGTTGCATATTCTGCCATATCCAGCCCAGCCCATGTCCTTATGTTGTCCATCCATGTTATTTTTAGCCTTCCACTTCCTCTGGCTCTCCTGCCCCACACCTTTTCTACAAGCACCTCTTTCGCAATGGTCTCGTGTCGTTTTTAGAGGCCATAGTATTGTATTTTTCTACATTTTATTTTGTTCAGCAGGGTTTGTCTTGTGTGGAGAACTTCCAACTTATTCTGGTAATTCTACGGTAGATCCACATCTCAAAACGCAGTTTTTCCTACTTTCCTTGTCAAAGTCCAGGTCTCTGCGCCATAGACGAATATGAGGAAGATTCCAGCATTTTCTTTCTTAAAGTGAGAGATAGTTGCCTGGATTTAAAATATTTGTACCAACAACAGTAGCAATAGTAAAACAACAGCAGGATCAATAATACATGTAGCAACAACAGCAGCAGCTGTTCACGTAAGAACAACGACAGCAGTAACAACGTAAATTACAATAACAGCAACAAAGATAAGAGAAGAGCAGCAGCAGCAACAATAACACCAACAGCGACACTAACAACAACAACAACAACAACAACAACAATAGCAACAGCAGTAACAACAACAGTAACAACGCCAACAAGACCAGCAGCAACAACATAATTATTTATGTGTATATTCTATGCTCTGAAATGCAATTTCGAAAACGATACATGCCTGCAGAATGTAACTTGAACCAACCCATAACCAACAATTATAACGAACAATCACAATTACCAACGAAAAAAGCAAAGCTACTTCAGATTCTGAAAATGGCAAAAGACCGCCACTCCTTTCCCCCTTCCCTCTCATCTGCCACGTCTTCACATCTCCAGCAGACCTGTTAAATAATAGGCTACCTAATTCACGGTGTGGGTTCAACGCCTTTATCAAAACTATAGGCTATTTAAGAGGCGGGTCCTCCGAGTTTAACGTCCATCTCCGAAAGGCCAGTGTCAAATGGGAAATTCGTGTAAAGCGCCTTCCCCAAGGACACAACGTCGGACCGAGCTGAGGCTCGAACTCCCGAACCCGCAACCTCATGATTACGAGTCCGACAACCTAACCACTAGGCTACCGACACCACATACCTAGTTCATGAGGCATGTATTTTGAAAATTTGAAAAAAAACACCTTTTCCTCCCGTCCCCCTCCCCTTCTTTTCCCTCCCCTTACTAACCCTCAATCCCCCAACTCTCTTTCTTTAAAAGCCTGTATTTTTCAAATACGTGACGTAACATACACGTCAGAATACAACTAGGAATCAAAAGTATCCTGTTTCCATTTGTCAAGAGACTTTGATTTCATATATTATCATAATGTCCAGAAGAAAATAACGTTCCACGACAGACAGCACCACTAACAACAACGGCTATAAGAACGGTGTCAGCAACAAAAAAAAAAAAAAATTTATGTTTTTTGGCTCAGCATCTTTCATGCTCATTACAGAACTCATTTCTGGGAGGATGGGGGGGGTACGACGTTAATAAAGGCAAAAAAAAAAAGAAATGATGTTACCAACAGACATAGTCTCAGTATCACCATTCACCAACACAACCCTAATGAATAACAACAACCACAGCAGCAAAACCACTCCCACACAAACATCAATAAGTTAAACACTGCATCTGCGAAAACATCGACGAAAACAAGAAGAACAACAGCTATAGAACTGACTACCATCACTACCAGCAGCAGCAGCATCATCATCATCATCATCATCATCATCATCATCATCATCATCATCATCATCA